TCCAAGCACAAGAATAAACTCAAGGTGGATCACAGACCTCAAGGTAAAACCCCAAAATATTAGGGCCATTAATGAGGGAATGAGGGCAAACCTGAGAACCTTGGCACAGGGAATACATAGGCTATCAGAAATAGGGAAGGATACAAATACAGAGGAGTCACAAATCGACAAGTGGGATATACTGAAGATAAAATGCCTGTGTACATCAAAAGAATTCACCAGGAGAGTAATAAGAGAGTCCACAGACTGGGAAAACATCTTTAACAATGACAAATCAGACAAAGGCCTTATTACTAAAATCTACAATATTTTGCAAGCTTACAATAAGAAAAAAACTAAGGAGGTGGGCAAAGGACCTGAACAGAAGTTTTACAAGGGCAGAAATCCAAATGGCCAAAAAAACATAGGGGAAAATGTCCCTGATCATTAACCATAAGAGAAGTGCAAATTAAAACAACTATGAGATACCACCTATGACCCTCAAAATTAGCCCAATTCAAAAACTCAGAACATAACAAGTGTTGGATGGGCTGTCATGAGATAGGCACTCGTCCACTGCTGGTGGACCTGTAGGTATGTACAGATATTATGGAAATTGATTTGGGGATATCTAAAAAAGATGGAAATTGAGCTACCATACAACCCAGCAATCTCTCTCCTGGGCTTATATACCCAGAAGAGGCAGAAACAAACCATGGCCAGACATCTGTGCTCCAATGTTCATCACGGCACAGTTCACAATTGCAAGGAGTTGGAAACAACCCAAATTTTCATCAACAGACGAATGGATAAAAAAAACTGTTTTACATGCATACAATGGAGTACTGCACATCCCTAAAAAGCAGCGATGAATGCGTGAAACACATTTCCATATGGGAAGAACTGAAGGAAATCATGCTAAGTGACATAATCCAAGCACAAAGACAAGTACAACATGAATCCACTGAGGTAAGTTCTTTTTTAAAATGGGGCATAAGGGTAAAGCTTCTATATACATACATTCCTGGGGTGAGGTCTAATACTATGGCAGGGGCCAAACCCAATCCAGGGATACATATGGCAGCCAACCAAATAAGAGGGGGAAAGAAAGAGGGGGGGAAGACATGGGTAGGAGGGGAGCAGGGCACTAATCCACCCAAGGAGAGGGCATTGTTTATATCTCCACAGGACAGAGAGAGAGAGAGACCAGGCTTCAACCCGATGCGCCAAGACATGAATACAACATACCAGCATGTACCAGGAAACCAATAGAAAGGTCTGCGAGGCAGGCCCCAATCCCAACTATGCAGACACCACCCCACCTCAGAAGAATGCACTTCAGAGGACAGCACTGGGGCTACATCTTGGGGAGAGGGGCATGTCTGATTAGAGCACCCGGGAGAAATGAAAAGGAATGGAGAGGAAGGGATGACATCCTGGCCACCAAGCCCCGAGGATGATATTCCTGCTTGGAGCAGACAACGCACGAAGAGGACTATAGGGCCAGACCCACTGCAAGACACAGTATCCCTCACTAACCCATAGCACTGCGAGGGACAACACTGAAGACAGGGCGGGAACTATGCCCAATCTGACCCCATCACACTGGGGCGAAACACTAAGGGCATGCAACAGAGCAGCAAGGGGAGCAAAG